ATTAAGTCATTTAACAGTTGCTCCAGTTCAACAGTATAGTTCGGTTTAACCTACAAGTAATTTATTTTATTTGAGAAAGAGAACATTTCTTATGTTGTTTGGGTCTTGACTTTGATACAGAATCTGGTAGTTCAATTTATCTCATAGGCTGATATCATAAAGAGTACCAATAAACATGATAGTTATTAAACGACTAGAAACCATTATTTATTGGACATCAAGTTGAATTTTCTAATAATTATGATATTTTACGAGATTAACATTTTATAGTCTTAAACAACTAATCCGAATGAACAGTCGAACTAATTTTGAACCATATTTTTCTCAGGAGTTACCATTAGTGAACTGGTAAACTGTTTATTTTTCTACATGTAGAAGAAATATTGTGTAGATACTGAACGGTATTTATTTATTATTTTATTTATTTTAACACACAGATATTTGTACAAGGAGGCACCAAATACATATGCGCCACACAGATCTGATTTGATATGTGTGAGGGCTGTGATACTGTCCGGGTGCCAAAACCGAAGCAGGTATACTGAACGGTAGAATGTATTACCCACATTTCGTCTTACTTTCAACCTGTTTATTATTACTTACTTACTTGAATAATTTTTTTAGAAATTTAATTTTCTACGGGATGGAGTCGCTAACACCATGCTTAACCCCCCTCCTTTATCCGGAACGTTTTGTTTAATGAAGGCCTTAATTCAGGATCAATCTTACTAGATGCTTTATCACCTATTAATTCATATCAAGACATTTTTTCTCAATCATAGTAAACTTTATTACTTCCGTCCTTGTCTTCCCATATTTACTGATAAATGTTTGAAGGCAGATAAATTTTTGCCATCATTCCTGAGATCGATTTCAACTATAGTTAATTCCTCACTAATTTTATCTTCGGAATATAACCTTTCTACACCGCTGGGAAGTATTCTCACCAAATACCTTTGTAGCTTACTGAATAGAAGCTATTGAAGCGTAACCCGCCCCAAATTATCTTTTGACCAATATGTCTTTCCAATTTAAGATTTTTGTTGTACTTCACATCAAGACTCATATTATAAAACTTTCATGTTCATTCTTCATTGTAAATCTAATCGATGGCTTTGCTATGTGAAAACATTTTATTATATGAGAAGCATGGTAATTGTCATTAAGAGCAACAAACGTCTGTAAGGTATTTTCCAGATAATGAATAAACAATTTTGAACGCATCAGTCCTAATGGACTGGTTTTTTGAAACGGAGAATTGACCATTTATAATATTAATCCGATAGGAACATCAGGTTTATGTACTTTTGACACACAACACAAATAAGGCAATATAAATACTCTAGGATTCAGTATAAGGTATTGAATGTAATCACTTTATTTCATTTTTAAAACGCTTGATATTTATTCGTAAAATGTCATTTCGCTATCTCAGCAACATTCTTTATCAAGCGCTTATTCAGAAAACTTATCTAATCATCTTTAATAATCTAAGGTTTATTAATATAAAATTCTACGTTCGTTAAAACTAAACTAAGGTCTTTACTAGGTCAAAGAATGACAAGTTTTTAGTAAATATCAATTTTCGTAAAGGATGTTTATGATTTTCAGACTCATATTAAAAAGAACATGTTCCAGAGCTTTCCCACAAAATTAACTTCAGTCATAAAGCTTAACTGATATGACATCCGATTTATAAACTTAGTGAGTGTATGGAACGTTAAAGAAGTATGTTTACATTCAGAAATATTTAAAATACGTCAAGGATTATTGATAAACAAAAAGAACTTTGAATATGCCTATGATATTTTCTGACCATAAAACTTTAAAGTTTCCTGTTTTCTTATGTAGCGTAAATTCAATAAGTTTAAAACAGGATAATCACTGTATTTTGTGACGATCATTCTATTTTTTTCAATCACTGTTAATATGAGAATGTGTGAGCTGAAAGCAAAATTTATATAAACTCTCATGAGGTAACAGTTTTTTATCAAGTTTGGAAATCATATGTATTCATATGTGTAATAAAATACCATGTAGTTTACACTCTTTGTTTTCATGGAATATCTCATCACCAAAAAGAAACACTTAATAATAATCATTATCATTATGATCTTATCAAGTACCTTGTATCTGAATATCCATACATTAAAAATCCAGTTTTAATTCAGAAAGTTGTATTCATAATCTTTGTCCTATAAAAGATTGATAGGAAAAATTGTTTGCTTTACTTTTTCGATTATTTTGTTATTGAAACATTGTTGTTCAATTTTATTAAACTATTAATTTAGATTGTACTAGTGTATATGAAATCTTACATAAACATCATTTTGGATATTGAATTTCTTATTTCATCAGATATCAATGCGTAATACTGAAAAAACTCATTAAATAACATATTGTGTTGTGTGCTACTGATGTCAACTGATGTAAGTAGTATGTATCATTAATTGAAAGTGAAATGCCTGGAGGCAGAATGATAAGAAGACCAAAGAAAAGAGAATACGAACAGAATGATTGGTGTGGAAAGAAAAGAACAATCAAATCTGAGACAATTGGTTGATATTTTGCAAATGAAGTATTTACTGTATGGTTCTCATATTTTACTAAGATGTTCTATAACTTCCTATTCGAATACATTCGATTGTCCCCAATTGTGTTCTCGTTCACTACAATATGATTAAAAGACGAATAAGTTGGATTATTATCAACGTTGAAAACTTTATAGAGGAAATTCGTATCCTTTTTACAAGTGAATAGCCACCTCAGTAGTTAATTGAATAATGTGTTGGAGTCCTGTGTTTGAATCTTAGAGTGTACATTAACTTGGATGCAAGTACATTCCGTAGTTAGAAACCATTACTCATTAAGTTAATCAAGTCTAGAGCGAGTCATCTTTTCATTTATAACAATGAATGATTACTGCATTCTTCTTAAACGACTGTTGTTTGAAATATTAAGTCTCATGTTTTCAACCCAATGGTGGAATGTTACCATATTGCTAGTTATTCTGAATACTATGATTTTAATCACTTATATGACATCTTATATCATACTTTTCATTTCCCGATTCCATTTGGTAATTTTTAACTAGAGTCTATATGTTTAGTCTTTTAATATTAATTATATAGTTGTTTTAACTTCAAGGGTGCAAGAAAAGATCTAATCAGAATAGCATAAATTCATTTTGTTTCGATAGGTTAACCTCTGCTTCTTACAATTAGTAATATTTAAAAATTAGAATCACAAAATGAATCTGTTTAAAGTTGTTAACCTATTCAAGAATATTGCAAATACGTTAATGACATATTTATTGTTTGTAATATTAAACATAGCGTAACCCACATATATGAACCTTTCAACAAAGTAGATCATAATATACAGTTCACTATGAACACTAAAATGACAAGACGTCCCAACTCCTTGGTAGTACTACATAACGGAGAGAGGACTGTAAAGTTAAGTGTTCATTTTACTAAACAAAAATACGTAGAATAGTTTATGCCTGAATATTATTAGTTTTTGTTCAATCAGTTATAAGAAAGCATTGGTTAAAACACCATTTCATAGGGTAGAAAGAATATATACCACTGAAGAACTGGAAGAAGAGTTGATGAACATTGAGCGATAACTGCTACCCACAGACATTGATTGATAAATATTGAAAAACTAAAGACATTAGGTTGAATCCACTTTCGGTCACTAGAAAACAATTCTTTATCTAACCTCACAGCAAATTTCAGCCAGATTCATCGACATAATTATTTTCAGTCAACTTGTTAATTTGAATTTTTAAATATTACAGGTTGTATGAAGTGGATGGAAACCTTAATAATTAGATACATTCATCTCATTCTCCCTAAACCCTTGGTCTCATTCACCTTAACATACTAAAGAGGACTTTATGTTTGATATTTTGGCTAAGCTACCTTTACTCCTTATATCAGCTTCTCACAATACAAGTACAAAATGTAACTATATGGAATGATATGAATTTGTGTTTCATACTACTTTGTTGATGACTAGTTAACTGATTGACTGCTTGACTTTCTAATAAACAGTTGTGATGCTGTTGTAAAATGTACAGAATGCAAGAAAATATGTTGCATATTATTATTAGTTGTTGAATCCACTTATTCATAATGATCTTAGCAAATCTAAACAGAGACTTATGACATCAATCTGGATGAACAAAAATGCAAATGACAACATTATGTTATGGAAAAATCTTTCACAAAAACAAATGGTTTTTTAATTAACCTAAATTACAGTATGTATGGAAGGGATGTGTTTACTAAACCTACATGAACAATCGAAAATCGGATTCATACTTGTGTTAAGTTTTACTTTACACCGCTATTTCACACATACATAGTTTTTCTGAATTTAGGCATTAAGTTATCCCGATTATTGTTTCTGGACACATGCTGGAAAGTAGTACACTAGGATAAACAAAACCGTTAATTGCTTACGGGTTTTTCAATGGTTACCTAATAGACCAGTTAACGATCTCTATCTCATGAAATGTTTATTTCAGATAGAAGTGAAGGGCACGAACAATTGGTGTTGAATGAATATTACGCCTTCTAATTAACATTTTTTTGTTTTCATCTATATAATTTAAGTATTTTTACCAGCGAATATTTGAACTAAAGTTATCTTGCTATATTCTCAGATAATAAGAGCCAATTGTAAAAACCAAATTAGTTTCAGCCATAGCTAAATATTTCTTTCCAAGATCTCTAACTGAAAATTGTTATCCTATCCTAATCACTGATGTGAATCAAACCCTAATATGTTTTGAAAACGATACAGGCAATCTTAGCTTTAATTCAGTAAACCAACTTTTTTCACTCTTGTTATTTTCTGTCAACCTGAACAAAGTCAAAGACATTAACACTAAACTTTTGAACTTCCATCGCTGATTATGAGTTTGATTTAATTCAATAATTAAGAACAATATTTTCTTAATATTTATAAAACTAACACAATTCATATAACTATCTATTTGTATGGTTTTCATAACTTTTATAATATCGTTTTGCGAATTGTTCAGACGTACTACACTGTTTTACTTCCGTTACACATTGAATTCCACAACATAACATATATATTGGAACCGTTGAATATTTAAATACATCAACACAATGAATACATATTGTATTCTTTTGATCGTATCTATCCATCCCACACCAGCAACAAGAACCAATGCTAGAAATGTATATAAAAATTAATAATATAATTGTAATCTTATATTGAAGCATTGAAAATTTCGGCTTAAATTGAACAAGACACTAATGTTAAAAATCTGGATTTTATGGGTTCATTTAATTGACTACGTCTTTAATTGATTCTTTTGCTATTACAAAATAGTATTTGTGATAATTATTGTATTATTTCATCCCTTAAACAGTGTAGTTTAATATCTTTTCTAGTGAACCTAAGGTGACTTTTCAAAGTAGGCTTTTTATAGATTCTTCATAAAAAAAACTGACAGTTTTCAATCATCAGTATTACTGTGAGTTTCTGCTTTGATCTATATTTATTTTTAAAAAAGGTTGATCCAAATGTAAAATGCCATATCTTAAGATAGACATGAATAAGATTGCTATTTTATGATAATAAAACCTAATTCGACATCACAATGACATTTTACTATTAAGAAAGATACATTTCAAAACTTATTATTTATCAATATCACTAGTAGAATTTTGTGATGTGAACTAAATTCAGAAGTCATCATTTGTTTATTTATTTAAAATTATTATGCATCCGTAAAGACATTAATACTGGTTTTCTGTGAGAAGCCACTTGGTTACTTAGTATGCTTCAAGAAACTATTCGCTTTGTCAGCAGAATAATCAGTCTTGGCGTTATATAACTGTTAATTGTAGCTTTAGGAATAGATTTTTGAAAAAAGTGATGTTTATGTGACTCCTGTCTCTATGATTATGAAATTTTTCACTATGACTTCATTGTCATAAATGTTTTATACTATTAATATTTTGTTCAGTATCGTTACTCATGCACGGTTAAGTCGTTTAATTCAAATAAGTACTGAATATTACTATCCCTCTTATATATGTATCTTAGGATAGACTCAAACGCAATTCATTATTTACAGGAAACAATATTTCGTATCAAGCTAGTCACGATGAACTAAAGTAATGAAATTTGATTAACCTACGGACTCAACAATTCATTTGACATAGTTGACTCTTCTTTGTCAGAGACTTTCTGAAACTCAAAGAAATTTGCATTGTTCTCCTCTGAATTAGTAATCAATATATACTGTTCTGGCTTTTCTCTGGAAGTTTCTTGATTTTGTATATTCATGTCATTAAGCAGATCTCTCATTTTCAAACAGGCTAATACTCTTAAAGATTGAATTTCTACTAAAGAGTTGTTTTTAAACTCTTTTGGAAATAAACATAATAATGGATTATCATTTAAGTTTAAACTTTCCAAAGCTTTTTCACATAAACATAGAAGACCAGGAGGAATACCAGTTAAATCGTTACCATTAAGTTTTAGCACTTTTAAATGCCTAAAAATAAAATTTGTATTGTAAATAAAAAGGGAAAAAAGATAAAGTTAATTGATTTACAAAACTTAATGTGTTTGAAATTAATAGTAGTTAAACTAGAAGCTGAGTAGTTTATAAGTTTTCTAAATTCCTGGCTTATCAAGATTTTCATTTTGAAAATTAGACTGAAGGTCAAAAGACAAATATTAGAGATGCTTAGCCTAAATCAACTCAGTCGTTCAATCCTCTGCATATATTTCGGGGAAACTCAATCGATGAAAACTGTCTTTAAATTAAAGAACACTTTTGAGCAAAAGTTTTTTTAACTCGATTTATCAACAGTGAGTTACATATTTCATTATTTTGGGGGTATTTATTCTGTTGACTAAATAATCTTACTGATTATATAGTATTTAAATGAGAGATGAGACATGAATAAACTACTGAATCATTCTACAACATGAAGTGTACTTTGCTAAATAACAGTCAATCTTAGTTATGGATCATTTATCGTTTATAAATATTTCACCCGTACAAATAGTTATATTAGGTAAGAAGGGGTAAAAATAGTTGTATCTGCTGTCAACTTTTGATGTTTATCGATATTTTCTTGGCTTACCAATCTTCTCGGTTGAACCAGTATGTGGAGTTACACAATCTTTTTCACAGAATATTCAACCACTTACTCTAAATTTTTTATTCGACTATCAAGGTATACAAGACGATTGTAGGATAGATCTAGTTGTTCTATTGATTTTAGATCATAGAATCTATGAAAAGAAAACAAAAAATACGACTGAATTAGTTAAATTTGTACAAATAAAATGAAAGTAAGACTATAAGCAAAGATAGATAGTGGCTAGCAGGGGAATCCAGGACGCGCGTTTCGTCCTATTCGGGACTCTCCATCTGGATGCGCCCGCATCCCAGAGACATTCATATATGTAATCATGTTGCCTAAAAAATCAAAACTTGGAATTGATTAATTATTTTGAGTAGAAGTACGGACAAAACAATACAACTGGTGATCAGCAAAATAATATCAGGTTTCGTCGTTAACTTGAGAAAATGTATTTGAATTCTTCATGCTTAGGTCTGGATGTTAATAAAATTAAATGTGTCCTCAAAACTCATTTTGAACGAAGTCCACATTCGAGAATTTCGTCCGCTCACCACTGATTTTAAATACTCTGAAGAATCATGTAGTTAGTAACGAAAATATGTTTATCAAGATTCTTCATTCAAATCAATTCAGAGAAGTATGTCTCAATCATTTTGATTTGGAATGACTTCTTAAGCGTTTAATCGGTCATCATAAGATGGTAGTTAATAAACATTTGTATGACTACTAAATACTCTGCCAGTTTGAATGTGAGCATTCTGTGAAGGACCTTGTATTATACCAACTTACGACTAAAAACACGAAGACTGGAATTTAAATAATTCAAATGTTGTACCAGAAAAACTACTTCGAGATTATGTAATGAAATCATCTTAAAATCGTTTCAATCATTCAGACTGTTTCAAATATATTTATACATTTGATACTATTGGTATAGTCTGAATATTCTTTGGTTACAATTTTAACAGTTTAAAAAATTATCATAGTTATGCATAGTGCCGAGGCTGTATTTTTTTGGTAGGTTAAATCATTTAAAACGTTTGTTGCTATCTTAATACTTTCATCTTTTCTTATATAGAAATCTCTTATAGGACACAGGATGCTTAATAAACTTATCCTTAGAAAACGTATTTTGATGTTATGAGATGAGACAAGAAGTCAATGAGCAAATGCATTCTAAATACAAGGTGTAGTTAAACGCGATAAAAAGCCTAACGGTTATTCTTAGAATCTATATACCTCACTTAAAAATAATACTATATCAATTTTATAACGGAAGTGTTTGAAACGTTATTCATTTCAAGGTAGCTTAAAAAACAGATTGAATTTTTCTGGACAACCATCAAAACCTGTGGTTATTTCAATGGGTAAGTTATTCCAGTAAGAGATTCGACAAGTGTGAGCCCCTATGATATCATCTGGATATAATAACGATCTGCACACCTGATAGTGTGTGTGCGTTATTTTTATTATTATAAGCTTTATTCAACATCATATTTTCGTTACAATATAGAATTCTCAGCATAAAGTACCTCTCAGAACACTGACATAGAAGCTAGAGGTTCACACTATCAACTTACATCAATTCGCAATGTTTACAATTGATTGATCACTGGGTGGTGATCAATGTCATGCTTGTCTAGTCCTTATTAGTGCAGATCGAATGCTATCGATCATGTTGCAATGTGGCCACCAGTCTAGGTGACTCGGCACTGCGGGCACTATGTGTTGAGATTAGATGATGGTTGGAGGTAGTCAACAGGAAACCCCGGACCTGCGTCTCATGCTACTTGGCACTCGTCAGCAAGGTGTACATGTAATCTTGAGGGAACTAGTGCTCCCTGGCGGATTCGATCTCGTGTCACCCAGCTTCACAGTCAGAGACGTGCTTGTCTAGTCTAGACTACAGGTACATCTTGCTGACGAGTGCCAAGTAGCACAAAACCCGGGTCCAGGGTTTCCTGTTGACTACCTCCAACCACCATCTAATTCGCAATGTTGTTATAATATTTTGTCAGTTGAATAAATAGCAGATTTAACTAAACAATAGTTGTTTTGCGCGCGATATTTTTCCAATTAGGCCGATAAAACTGATAATGTGACTGTTAAAAACACGTTTTCCAAAATGTTGCTTGAACATTTTCTGTATTTTTAACCTAGATTTTATATATCCATTTATATTATTATTGTACTTTACTACTCAGATATATAGTATGATTAATTTTCAGTTTTCAAAAGTTATTTTCAACAAACTTGCTATTTTAACCGTAAAAGTACAATGCACTGACGTTCCTGGGTTAGCCAATCAGAATTACGATGATCCCTCTTGTGTTATTTTCTGAATCATTAAGACTCATCGTTAGTATTTTAATAATTTCTAAAGGTTGTCCCTATGCCATACTATTAAGAGAAAAAAACGATTATAGCTTCTGTATTAGACCCTAAAAATCGGAAAAATGTACTCCAAGTATTAAGTAGAATGAAGTATGAAGTACTAGAGGGTTAACTTTCCCTCTAAATTATGAAACTCATCAAAAAAGTTAGACAATTTCTTTAAATTTCATAAGGTTGTTCTTCATGAAGAACAGAAGTGATGTACGAACGTTTGAAGAAATGGTACTGACTACTGAAACTGTTAGTTTAATATTAGGAAAAAGAAAAAAAATGATATTGACGAAATTAAAAAAGTTCTACATTATTGGTAAAACCAATGGGCAAACCGGTTGAAAATAATTTGCTTACAAATCACCCATAGGTAGTATACTATGTGAAATGAATATGTACTTGTCCGAGTTGCCATATCTAATAACAGAATAACGAAATAGGACGTAAAGAGAAGAATCAACGGATTTAAAGCAGTACTAGATAAGAAACATTGTATACAAAGAATAAATGGAATAAAAGAATGAAATACGTCAGATGGTACTAAACTTGAAATTTTGAGGAAGATAAAAGTGTATGTACGTATGTTACTGAGACTGAACTCCGTTGACAATTCCAATCATATATATACCAGGAAGACTTCACTTAATGATGCAAACCAAACTGAAAAACACCAACTTCACGAACTGAAGTTACGTTCCCATTAGGCCGTTGTCAAAAGTTTCCTAACTAACTATTATATCAGACAATAAAGTTGGTGGCCGGTGACTGACATTGTACAACACATTTCTGAATCACGAAATTCGATAAAGACCTATATTTCAATAACCTAACTCACCGTTTCTACATAAAAAACTATTCCTAAACCTAGTTTTGTCTGTTTTTTCCCACGAAGCGTTTCTACTACGTTCATGATGAATATTCCGTTCTGAAAGGATTTTCCTAATTATTATAACATATTGTTTATATTTACTGTCATTACATTTCTAAGGAAATAAAACATTCAATCAATAAGTTGTTTATCAAAATACGTTAGTGAAATTATTTAAGACGTCTGTAAATTATTAAACAGGAAAGAATCAAAGAATGACATCTAAAGGACTTTTGATAATCAAGCAACAATCAACTGTTATTTCCCTCTAGTTTTAGACTATTTAATTAACTCAACTTACTACAATATACAGAATCGGACGTAAAACTTCCAGGTATTTTGAAGGATACAATTTTCTTTATTAGTTGAGTTATATTTCACTAATTCACTTATACTAGATTCATTGTGAGTTTGAATTTATTATCAATTCATGGTAAAAGTTACCTTCGATTAAAACAAAATCTCTATAAAATCATTCAAGTTAAGGCAAAATTTTTACCTCACAAGTGATCAACTTCTAGAACAATGTAAAAAAAAAATACAAGAAATAATACACCGAAATAAAGAAAAAAGTTTTAAATAAAAATTTTATAAAGAAATTTAATAAATAACAACACAAACTAATGAAAATACTCAGTATTCACAATTAATTAATCACTGGGTATTGATCAATGTCATGTATGTCAAGTTCTTTTTAGTGCGGATCAAATTCTATTGACCAAATTGCAATGTGATTACTAGTCTGGATGACTTGACATTGCATGTACTAAATTGAGATAAGATGATAGTAAACTATGCATGGAAACTATTTAAAATTTTAATTATTTTACTAGTAATTTAAATGATAATTATTTTTAATAATCTTAATTACTTACTCATAAGTTAAATTTTCAATTAAGCAATAAGATAAATTCAATGATTTTAATTGTTTTAATTTGGCAATTGATTTAGGTACTTTATGTAAAGGATTAGAACGTAATGATAAAAATTCCAAATTGTTTAATAAACAAAAATCATTTGGAAGGTCCTAATTAATAAATGAAAAAAAAATATTTATGTTAAAATAATAGTATTAATACTTGTATGTTAATATAACTTCTGATTGATTAAAAACTGAGGTTAAATAGTGGTTGGAGGTAGTCAATAGGAAACTTTGGATCCGAGTTTCGTGCTGTTTAGCACTCGTCACTAAGGTGTACCTGTAATCTTGAGGGAAGTAGTGCTTCCTGACGGATTTGATCCCGTGTTACTCAGTGGTAACGTCTCTGATTGTGAAGCTGGATGACACGGGATCGAGTCCGTCAGGAAGCACCAGATTCCTCAAGATTACAGGTACACCTTGCTGACGAGTGCTAAACAGCACGAAACTCGGATCCAAAGTTTTTTGTTGACTACCTCCAACCACCATCTAATCTCAACATAGTGTACGCAATATCGAGTCACCTAGACTAGTGGCCACATTTCAACTTCGCGATAGCGTTTGATCTGAACTAAGAAGGACTTGACACACATGACATTGATCACCACCCAGTGATTAATCAATTGTGATAACAACTGAGGTGAAATGATCAGTAGATTAAAAATTTCATGTACAATTATCTCAACTCAAGTGCAAGTATGAACTCTAAAATTAAAGACTGACTTTGATCGAAAATTAATTTATTAGAACGTCCATCTATATTCATAGTGTAGTGAACGACGACACAAATGGGGACAATCGAATGTATTCGAATGGGAAATTACAGAACATCTTAGTAAAATATGAGAACCATACAGTAAATACTTCATTTGCAAATGTTGTCTCAAAAATGACTGTTCATTTTACAAATATCAGTCAATCGTCTCAGACTTCATTGTTCTTTCATTTCCGAACCAATCATTCTTTGCTCTCGTTC